ACAGATGTTCCCAGCCTTGTAGGGTAGGGGTTGGTGCAGAGGGCGGTATCTGTGACTGGGGGAGCTCAGGAGTGAGGAATTTGGTGCTGTGTGTAGTGGCGAGGCAGGGAAGGACACATAGAGGAGGAGATGTTGGAGTTGAGTTATTGGAAATTGGCAAAATAAATAGAGGGAGGAGAGTATTCCAGGCAGATGGTATAACATATGCAAAAGCTCAGGGGTGTGAACCCGCATGGAGTATTTGCGGAGACTGCGGCAAGTTTAGTTTAATTGGAAGGAACAAGGCTAGGAGGGAATTTATGGGGGATTTGAGGACAGTGGTGTTCCCAGGAACCTGGTCATACTGAACTGAGCTGGAGGGATGGCCTGTAGGATGGGAGATGCGGTTTCTACCAGAGGGTTGAGGGAGGCCGAGTAGAGGAAGGGGTATTTGAGTTGAGGTTTTCAAGAATGAATAGGACTTGCTGCTTGAGCAGCCCAAATCTAGGGAAGAAGGTTGTGTGGACAGCGTCAGGACAGACAAAGGGACACAGGGGAGCTAGGCAGGGCTGTGCCAGGGAGAGTCAGGAGAGCCATTTGTTCCCTCCATGCCAGCTTCCTGGTCCCCAGCCCTGAGCTGGAAGCTGGGGATGTAAAGACCACAAGACCCCAGCGTTTGTCCTCCCGAAATCCACCTGGGGGTGGACCTTGAAGTTTCCCCAGGAGGCATATTGAGGGAAGAGGCATCAGGGTGAAATGCATCCTGGGTCCGCAGTTGCTCTGAACAGCCTTAGTGCATGTTTGTCTTTTTGAGGAGCTGCAAAGTTGCTTTCCAAGCAAACTGCACCATGTCACATTCTCACCAGCAACGCCCACACGGGTTCTAGTTTCTCCACATCCTCACCAACACGAGTGATTGTGTCTTTTTTTATTTTAGCCAATCCAGTGCACATGGAGTCAAATCTTGGTGGTTCTGACTTGTATTACCTTGGTGGCTAATCATTTTAAGTATCTTTTTTTCCTAACTCATACAAGCCAATTTTGATTGTGTGTCTGCAAAGTGCAGAGCATCTTTTCATGTGCTTGTTGGAATGTGGAAATGGTTATCATCATCCCTATTTTATTTAATTTTATATATTTTAAAGATTTATTTATTTATGCACACAAGAACTGGGATCCAGGCCAGAGGTGTGGGGGTGAGAGGATTCACCAGAGACAGAGTGGGGAACAGAACAGGCAGATGGATGGAAATACACTGCTGAGGGGAGCAGCAGGCGAGACAGGAGAGGTCTGCTGCGCCATGTGGGTCAGCTCCCTGGCTGGGGATCGAACTCGTGCTGCAGAGACTGTGGATAGCTTCATAGTGTTGAGACTTAACCCCATGCACCACTAGGGAGACCCAGACAACCTGACTCTTACTGTTTACAGGGAGCATCCACGCGCAAAGCTTTATATGAACGTATTTTCATTTCTGTTGAGTAGAAATAAAATAGAAATAAAAGGGCCATATCTTATGCCAGATGTATATTTAACCTTTGGAAAACCTGGTACAGTTCTCCACGGTGGCTGCACCATTTTGCATTCCTACCAGGCATAAACGAGAGTTCCTGTGGCCTCTTATTCTTGCCAGCACTCAGTGAGGTCAGACTTTTGTCTTAACCATCCTGGGGGCTGGTGCCTGGCCTCTCACTGTGGCATTCATGTGCTTTTTTCCTAACAAGCTTACTGACTCAGAGTATTACTCTGAGTAATACTTGGGTAAGTCTAATACTCTTTGGGGTACTGTGGACTCTGGAGCTGTGCAGAAAAACATTAGTTAGGAGCCTGCTGTATACCAGGCCACATGTGAAGGAGGGGACCAAAACTGGGACCGAGAGAGCCTCAGATCTCAGTCTTCATGGGTCACACCATTGTTCAAACAAAGAAAAAGAAACAAATATGCCTTGTGACTGCAAACTGGGGACACTGCTTGGAGTATAGGCAAGCTAACTATGTGAACCCACTCTCTGGTTACTCTTACACTATGTATCCACATGGCACTGGAGATTCTTTTTTAGGGTATGGGTGGTGAGCACCCCAATTTTGGTGACCAGGCCTGGTGAAGGGCAGGGATTTGAGAGCTGTGGAATCTGACCCCAGGGCTGGGTGTTCTGGTTTCGGGCGCCCCTCCGACCTGCCTGCCCATTGCCCAGCCCAGTTCACCTTTGCTCTTGCTCTGTCACTTTGTGGGAGACGGCCTTGTTCTCTAGCCCCTGGGCCCCCTGATAAAGTTAACTCCTGAAGGCATGGGAGATAGACTTCAGGGATAGCAGGAGGGGAGGAGGCTGCTGGGACCCGAGAGGGTGGGGCCCCCCATCCATGAAGGTGTGGCCATTGGACTTTGCCTCCCTGGGCTGCTGGGTGGGGAGGCCAAAGTCAGCAATTAGCAACTGGCCGGGCCCAGGGCCAGTTCTTCTTCTCTTCATAAGCCTCAGTTTCCCCATCTTGCCCATTGTAGGCTTTCCTAGTGCCTGCCAGCTCCTGGCAGATAGTAGCATTTTGTGCCAACCTCTATTGATTTCCTCCCTGCTGCTTACCCACTCCCTGCTCCCCAGATGCAGCAGGAGCGGGCACTATGGTGATATTTGATATAGTCAGGTGAAGAGCAGCACTAAGGGGAGTCAGGGTCTTGCAAACATTTATTAAGCACTGACTGTATGGCAGGTGCTGTTTAGGCCCTGGGGACGCCACAAGGACAAGTTGGCAAAGTTTCCTGCACACACGGAGGCCACATGGGTGAGTGATTCTGCTCATCAATACCCAACTCAATACCCAGCACAGAGCAGTGCTGTTTGATGGGGGAAGAGGCCCAGGCTCTGTGCTGGCCACGGGGGTCCCCATGGTGACCAAGACACACGTCTAGTCCACTAGTAGGTGGTAAGAACAGTAAATAATGTGACAAATAAATATGCACGTACAACTGCTAGTACTAAGAATCACATCCGTGAGGGAGGCCATTGAAGACATCAAATGCTTGCTATAGATACTCACTCATCCAGCGCTGCTCTGTGCTGGGTATTGAGTTGGGTATTGATGAGCAGAATCTCTCACCCGTGTGGCCTCCGTGTGTGCAGGAAACTTTGCCAACTTGTCCTTGCGGCGTCCCCAGGACCTAAACAGCACCTGCCATACAGTCAGTGCTTTCCTTCAATAGTTGTTGAGTCCCTACCATGTACCAGGTTGGGTTCTAGAGACAGCAGGCATCTGTGTGACACTCTACACTTTGGTGGGCGAGGTAATAAACAAGAAAAAAGATAAATAAAAAGGAGGATGCTGGGCAGTGGAAAGGGCTACAGAACCAACCCAACAGGCCGTAGCGGGAGAAGGTGACCGGGTAGTCAGGGATGGTGGGCTTGAGTCAAGGCCCAAATGACAATGATTTTGATCAGTTTCCCTAGTTGTAGGTTCTTTTATAAGCAGAGATTTTGTCTTTTTGTGAGGGAGGCCAGGAGACCCCCCCTCCCTGGCTGTATGTCCAGCGAGGTAGATGGAAGCCCCAAGGACAAGCGCTTCAAGGAGCTAAGCTTCCCACACACCTGATTAACTAATGAGGGGAGACTTTGACCCTCTCCTCACTGCTTATCTCCAGACAGGTGAGAACTGCAAGTCAAGGTGCAGCTCGGGAGGATCTGGGTAGGGCCTGGTGGGGGGAGCAGGTGGGGGGTCTAGTCTGCCTGGGCCAAGGCTAAGAGAGGCCCTAGTCAAAGAACTGTGAACCTCAGTTTCCTCATCTGTGAAATGGATTTCCAGCACCAGGAAACTCCAGGCTCTTATTCTTTTCTATCATCCCAAACAATTGATTGAGCAACCCCTGTTGTGTTTGGGCTTCATTCTAGGTCTCATTCTGCAAAGGAAAAAAACAGCGAGGGAATAATATAGGGCTGTCAGAACTATTCAACTCTGCCGATGTAGCATGAAGGTAGCCAAGCTCAATAGGTAAATGAACCGGTGTGGCTACATTCCAATAAAATCAACCAAGTAGAAGGCTTGGTTTAGAGGGCTTAAAACAGCGTTTGGTATGCAGCAGACAGTTCATTAATGCTTGGCTCCTGCCTGGAAGACAGCAGGGACTGCACTATTGCCTGGGCCACAGTGGGTACCATAGTGCTTTCCCCCTGTCTGACACACTGCAGGCACTGCATTAAAACCTGGCCGACGTCTGGTTTACAGTAGGCGTTACACTAACGTTTGTTTTTTGCCTGATGTGGAGCTGGGGCTGCATGAACGTCGCGTTCATTCCTGGTTTGCAGTAGGCCCTGCGCTAATGTCCAGTTCCCGCTCATCTGCACACAGCAGGCCCTCCATCCCGCGCATTCCGCGGCGTGCATACAGCAGGCGCCGCATCAATACCAGCCGCGGTATACAGGCGGCGTCCCATTAATGCTGCTCTAAGAATGGCTGGGTCAAAGGTCCGGCAACCCCAGAGCGCTCCGGGCGCCTGAGAAGGCCGGCACCCCCGCGTCCCGCGCGGGGCGGGGGTCCCGGCCCCCCAGCTCCCGCCACAGCCGGGTGGGCGCCTCGGTCCCCGGCGGCGCGAGCCGAGCGGAGCCGAGCCGGGCCGAGCGGAGCCGAGCGCGGACGAGCCGGCCTCCTGGTCCGCCACATTCCCAGAATCCCGGGCGGCCCCGCCCCGATTCCCGGACGCGTCCCCCCTTCCCACGTCGGCGCAACCAAACCCGCGGGCGCGCCCGCCCGCGCCCCCCGCCCCCGCGCGGCCGCGGCCCCGCCCCCCGCGCCGCCAGCCCCGCCGCGGCGCCCGCCGCGCGCTCCCATTGGCCGCGCCGCCCGCCCGTCGGCCGCCGCCCGGGGCTAGGTTGCGCGGCGCGGGCGCTCGGTCGCGGCGGCTGCAGTTGGCGGCGGCGGGGCGCGGGCGGGACGTGCGGCCGAGCGGGCACCGGCGCGCGCGGCGGCCGAGGCGGACCGGCCGGGCCGGGAGCCGAGCGCCGAGGGCGAGGCGGGCGGGCCGCGCTGCTCCGGGCCGGGGCCCGGCCGGGGGCGGCGGGGGCGGCCGGCGGGGCCGGGCCGGGACGATGACTCTGGAGTCCATGATGGCGTGCTGCCTGAGCGACGAGGTGAAGGAGTCCAAGCGGATCAACGCCGAGATCGAGAAGCAGCTGCGGCGGGACAAGCGCGACGCCCGGCGCGAGCTCAAGCTGCTGCTGCTGGGTGAGTGGCCGCCCGGCCCGGCGGGGTCCGCGGCCCGCGGGGCGCGCGCGGCCGGGCGGGGCCGACCCCGCCGGGCCCACGACGGCGCCCGGGCGCTGCCCGTCGCGTCCACGGCGGGGCCCCGCGCCCGCCCGGCCGTCCCCGGAGCGCGCTCGCTCCCGGCCGCGCGGTCCCCGCCCGTGCCGGCCGCGGCGGGGCTGGGTCCCGGGAGTCAGCCCTGCTCGTGCTGCCCCGGCGGGCCCCCGGCCCCGGCTCGCGCTGCCCACGGCGAGGACCGTGCCCTTGGGGCAGCTCCCGCCTGTGCTGTCCCGGCAGCGCCGTTTCTGCCTCGTTCACGGCAGGGCCCCGGGTCTCCGCCCTGCTGTCCATGGTGGGGCAGCTCCTGCCTCTGCTGTGCATGGTGGCGGCCTGGGTCTCTGGGAGGCCAGAGCCAGGCTCTGCCCGGCTGTGCGTGGTGGGGCGGCCCAGTACTGCCCGTGCTGTCCACGGAGGGGCCCTGGACCCTGCCTGTGCTGGCTGTGGTGGGATCCTGCGTCCTTGGGATTAGCCCCCTGCCCGTGCTGTGCAGGTGGGGCCTGAGCTTCCTTCAGGGCGAGTCCTTGTCCCTGCTGTGCAGGTTGGGCCCCCCGGATGCCTGCAGGCAGGCCTGGCCGCTGCCTCTGATGTTCAGATCAGACCCCACCTTCAGGGTCAGTTTCCTATCTCAGCTATCCAGGTCAGGCTCCTGGAACTCTCCAGAGTCTGCCCTCTGCCCCTTCTCAGAGGATCAGCCTTCCCTCTGCACGGGGCTGGCTCTCAGTCCCAAACCCACCAAGGCTCTGCACATTGTTGGTCCCGGCATCTGTTCAGGGCCCCTCACCTTCTGAGATCCTGTCTGAGCTCTTCCCACCAGGTGGAGCCCTGTTCCTTACAGGCAGAGCTTGTTCCCCTCCAGCCCCCCCATTTCCTCAGGCCCTCTCCCCCTCCAGCCCCCCATTTCCTCAGGCCCTTTCCCTGCCTCCTTTTCCTCGGCGTGAGAATCCACCATGGGGGAGATGACAGCCTTTCCCCTTTCCTCAGGGACTCTGTTTCAGCAGGGGCGTTGGTGGGTGGGGTTGTGCAGATGGACCCCTAAGGAGCCTCTGTAGGTTTTCAAAAGTGGTCAACCTTCCCGCCTCCCCCATCCCAGCTCCTGAATAGCTGCTGGAAGGGTGTCTCCCTGGTCCTCTTTTTCCTCCTGGAGAAGACTCCTACATCACCACTGCCGTTCCTGGCTCCCCAAGTCACACCTGTTGCAGGGAGTAAGTTGGCCCAGCTGTCGGCAAAGCTTGTCACTCCAAATAAGGGCTGTTGTAGGACTTACCTTTGCATCAAAGGCAAGAAGGCCGTTTACAAAACAGAAACCCTTGCCCTGTCCTACCACGTACCTCTTTCGGTTCCCAGACTAGGGGAAGGCTGGAAATCTTGCACGCTGTTCAGAGGTAGCATCCAGAGGTCTAGGACAGAGGAGGATCGTTCATGGACTGGGGGTGGCAGTCCTGGAGGGGGTGTACCTCAAAATTGGGCAGGGTTTGTGGTATCAGGTCTGGTAGTGAGGGAACAGTATTCTTGGCCCTTTGGGAGGTGAAAGGTCTTGGCGGGAACCTGTTGCTCCTTCTGCCTGCAGGGGTCCCTGCTTTTGGTGAAATGCCTTCCTGTTTTTTTTTTGTTTTTTTTAAAATTTAAACATATGTTCTAATTTCCCTAAGTGCTATAAAATTGGCCATCTTTCCAGGAAAGATGGGCAGAGAAATAATCTCAAAAAGTTTGGAGGAAACTTGCAGTGGGGCCCACTGGCTCTGGGGAGGACAGCACTACGCGGCACTTTGTTTTGGGAGAGGGTTTGGAAATGACCAGCATCTTACCAGACTGCCTTGGCCTTGCCTAGGGGCTGCATGAACCTCCAGACTCGCCTGCCCCCAGCCTGAGCCCCCTCAGGCTTCAGATTGCAGTGGGGTTTAAGGACACAGGTCAGTGGCTGGCGCTCTTGTCGCCTTTGTGTGCATGTGTCTCCCGGGCTGTGCTGAGGAGACTTGCTGCAGATCTGGATCTGGATCTGGAGTCGCTGCAGGAGTCCCTGTGTCTGCAGCCCCACCCCTCCCCCACTGCATGACCCGAGAGGTGCTCCGCCCTCCCCCTCCAACACCTGCAATCTGGGGAATCAAGCACCTGTCTCTGAAGGTTGTTAAGGTCTAGGAATGGAGGGCCAGATAGGAAAATGCAGACAACGTGAACTTGCAGGGCCAAGGAGATGTATGACACAAGAACAGCTATCAGAGCCTCGAGGAGGTCCCGGGGACTCTCTGGGGGTGGGGACGGAGCCTTGAGGCATTGTTTCGCTCAATGATCTCACAGGTTTTGGGGGCCTCAGGGGAAACTGACCATCTAGGCGGCCTTGCAGGTTGCACCCAGGACGAGGATGGGGCACAGGGTAGGTGCCAGCCTTTGAGCACTCTTCTCTCCTGCCTGTGGCATGCATTCCCTCGACCTCTGCCAGGTACACCAGCCACTAGCAGGTGATTGTTCCCATTTCACAGGGAGAAAATTGAGGGGCAGATTGAGCTTTCCCAGCTGGGGGAGCCACAGGCACATGGTCATGCCTCTGTGGAGTGTGATTATCTTCACAACTCCCTGTTGCCGGACTCCGCTCCTCAGCAGTGGGGATCCTCTGTCATCCCTGTGGCATCATTCCGGGGGGAGAGGGGGGTTCTGTGTGGCTCTGACTCTGCCCCGCCTTGACACCTGGATTTGGAACCAGGTAGAGAAAGTTACCTCACCAGGAAAGTGCCTTGTCCACTCGGTTGTGTCTATCTGTCCAGTGTCTCCCTGGGCTGCATGTGACTTGTGAGCCTCAGCTCCTTTGAGGGGGACCCTGTGTGGACTCTGCCCTTGTACTGCCCCATGACTCCTTTTTGAAAGTCGCTTTTGACGCCTCAGAGAGACATTTCCTTGCAAAAGGGCTCTCTCCTAGGCACTGATGATAACCGGGGCCAGGTCCCTGGTGGGGTGGCGGGGGGACCCTGGGCAATGTGGAAGCTGGGCGGCATCCCTGACCCCCTCCCTTGATGCCAGGAGTGCCGCCAAGTGCGACCACCACAGCTGCCCTCGGCGCGGCCCGGTGTCTCCCAGGGTCAGGATCTCCTCTGTCTGAGCCCCCGACCCCATGGCATGTGCGGTAGAACATGTGGCTTCCCAAGCTGGTAAATGATCAGGGTAAATCGTTTTCTCAGATGTTTCATGAATGTTCACAAAAGTGAACCTTTTTGTTTGTCGCGTCCAGCGCCGTGCGGGTGCGCGCGCGTGTGCTCGTGGCCGCATCCAGGGCCGTGCGTGGAGGCGGCTAGCCGGGGTGACCGCTTGCGAACGTACTGGCCTCGCCCACTTGTCAGTGGTGGGGAGTGGGGGCCTGAGTGCGCTCCGAGCGTCCCCGCTGTGCTTCCCTCGACCTGCCGTCCCGACAGCTCACACCACGTCCCGTGAGATCCCTGAGGTGGGGAGCGTGGGGGCCCGCAGTAGGCCCTCCTGGCTTCCCTTTGACAATGGAAGCCTTCCATGGGAACCCCATTCCTGGAGTCCCAGTGTTCCGGCAAGGCTGAGCCGGAGCGGCTCCGGGATTTCTAAATAAAGCAGGGTGGTTAGTTCCGAAGGCTTCCTGTCTGGCCCAGGCCGGCCCCCAAAGGGCAGTGAAAAGGCCCGGAATCCAGTGTGGGGTGTGGTAGCCCCGACGGGAAGGGCGCCTCCCAGTACTTTGGGGCATGGAGCAGAGCGGCTTGTTGTGTCCTCTGCAGCCTGGGACGGCAGGAAGAGCCGTGGGCGGCCTGCATCCACTCTTGAGTCCCTGGCCCAGCCGGGGACTGAGACCAACCCGCTCTGGGACTGTTATGTCTTTTAAATTTAAATTACAGTTTTTATTTTCTGAGCGGGTCTGACTTCTCGGGCGGCGGTCACGTCCGGCAGTGATTTGTAAGCAGGAGTGAGAATGGCTCGGGCTACCTGCCCCTCCATCTCCCTGCATGCATGGGAGGACGCCAGGGCCTTGGGGCTCTCTCCCCTTCCTAGCAGGGCCTGCGTACGGCGCCCCATAAAGGCCAGTTAGCGTCGTGGGGAACCCAGAGCCTGGCCCTGTCAGGTCCGCACTGGTTCTGGGCAGGCGCTGCCCCGACTCCCTTTGCACAGATGTCCGCAAGCTTGCGCTGTGCTCCTTCCTGGGTGCCCCTGCCTGAGCCCGCTGCCGGCTGCGGGCTGTGGGCTGTGGTTAGACTGGAGGAAGTACTTTGCCTCCAGTATTAACCACTGAAGTTTCACTTTCTGCCTTTGTGGTGCAACACTTCTCCGAACGGCTCCGAGCGCTTCCTGGGTATCGCTGCCCTCGGTGCTGGAAGGTGCACAGGGCGGCCAGACAGCGCGCATAGGAGCGCGGCGGGGGGAGAGCCAGCTGTCCCTTCTCTGTCCCCGGTGGCGTTGGGTGCGAAGTCAGGCCCTGGGACAGCAGGTCTTGTCTGGGATCCTGAGTGCAGCGGCGTTGGCCTGGGGCCAGGGAGGTGGGTGTCTCTGGGTCCCCCGCCCGTCACTGCTAGCTGGCAGTTGGTCACTGGGGACAGCGAGCCTGGGCGGCTTGCTCGCCCGGAGTCTGCCAGCCTTGGACAGGATTCGCTGTCTCGGGCTCGTGTGTGGGATGACTTTTTGGCGGAATTTGAGCTGCTCGCAGGACCAGCGTCTCAGCCCTCCAGCTGGCCGGCCCGGGCACGCGTGTACCTGCTCTGAGCCCTTTCGCTCCCGGCCTCCGCCTTCTCCAGGGCGCCAGGCTTGCTGCCAGTTGTGGGGCCTGGCTTTGTCACCCTGTGGGGGTGTCTCCTCCCCATTCTCTCTACTGCTGCCCACTGCTGGGTCCTTCCCACCCGGTGTGTGTGGCACCGAGCCCTGTGGCCGCAGACATGCTTCCTGACTTCTGTCTGTTCATTCGCGGCGCTCCCCAGGGACGT